GAGCTACTTTCTAATATCTAATCAATGATGTCTTTTGTGAGTTTTTTGATGATTTTGTCATCTGCTATTTAGAATATATTTTAATCTATTCTAAGAATACAAAAAAGTATGAAATTCATGTTCATCATGTGTTACAAAAACTAAGAGATGTAAGATTTTATGCAAAGATAGAAAAGTGTGTATTATACACTACTCAAGTTGACTTTTTGGAGTACATCATTTCCAATGAAGGCTTTATAATGGATCTAAAGAAGGTCCAAACTATCATAGATTGGAAGATTTCAAAAACAGTAAGAGATGTGCAATGCTTTTTGGGCTTTACCAATCATTATCAAATCTTTATCAAGAACTTTTTTCAAGTTGTAGCTCTATTCACATGTTTGACTTGTAAAGACAAACTTGAATGGAATAAAGAAGTCGAAGCATCATTTGTTGCTTTGAAGAAGGAATTTACTTTTGTACCAATTTTGCATTGTTTTGACTTTTTTAAGATATTTTTTATGAAAATAAATGTATTAGACTTTGCCTTGGATGCAGTATTATGATAAATAAAAATAGATGACAAATTCCATCCAGTAGCTTTTCATTCCAAGAAATTTTTAAGAGCTGAGATTAACTATGAGATCCATGACAAAGAACTTCTTGCAATTATGGATTTATGTAGAAAATGGCATCATTTATCTAGAAAGCACTTCAAATTAAGTCACAGTATATATAGATCATAAGAACCTCGAGTATTTCATATTGGCACATATTTTGAATCGTCACCAATTACGTTGGAGCATGTCATTATGAAGATTTGATTTTAAGATTACATATGAACTTGAAAAATAATAAGATTTATCAAATACTCTTTTTAGATGCTTTTATCTTGTTCCAAAAGAAAGAGATGTATCTTTTGATCAACAATGAACAATCCTCTTCAAACCAGAGCATTTTCATCTTCAAGCAATAAAATCAAAATTGATTATTGATTCAACTTTTGTTAAACAAATTCAATGAGGTATGTCCTTTGATCTTCTTATTCATGATATTAAGAATCTTTCTTCTAAGTCTTATGATATTCTAAAGTTCAAATTCAAAAAAAACATACTCTATTTTGAAGGATACTTATATGTTCGAGAAAAAGAAGCACGTTTATATGTATTCTTCAAGAAAGTCACAACTTTCCAACAAGAGGACATTTTAGATACAATAAGATTTTAGAGCTTATATCTTGAGATTTTTGGTGGCCGCAAATGTAGAAGGCAATAAAAGACTTTGTTGAGTCATGTGATATTTGTTTAAGATTAAAAACTCCTTGTCAACAATCCTATGGACTTCTCCAACCATTGCCTATATCTGAACAATCATGGTCTTCCATTTCTATGGATTTTATTATAGATCTTCTAAGTTGAAGTTTATATGTTTTTATATTCGTAATCATAGATTGTTTCACCAAAATGGTATATTTTGCACCATATATAAAATTTATTTCAGGTAAAGAAACAACTAAACTTTTCATTGATAATATCTATTCCTATCATGGATTGCCAAAGGATATTATAACGGATAGGGAGACTCAATTCGTATCAAAATTTTAAAAAATCCTATTCAAGATTCTAAAGGTGGATATAAAACTTTGTTTGGCTTTTCATTCTCGAAGTAATAGGTAAATAGAATAGATGAATTAAGTCCTAGAGCAGTATTTGAGATGTACTATTAATTATCATCAAGTTAATTGGACAACTCTTTTGCCATTGGCAAAGTTTGCATATAATAATTTGATACATTCTTCTACTCAATAAATACTTTTTTTTGCTAATTATGGTTATCATCCAAGACTTGATACTTTTGACTTTTTAAAAGTTGATAATCTTATAGCAAAAGATTTAGTTAATCATTTGTTAGAGCTACATGCAACAATGAAGATACAATTAAAAAAACTTCAAGAATGACAAAAGACCAATGCAGATGCATATTATAAGGAGCAAGCACAATTCAATGTAAGTGACAAGGTATGGTTACTTTGTCGCAATATCAAGACTAATTGTCCTTGTGATAGGTTGGACTAGTGTAGGCTAAGACCTTTTTCTATTTGTGAACAAATCAATCATGTTCCTTATTGATTTTATCTATTAGAATTTATAAAAATCCACCTTATATTTCATGTATCTCTTTTTGAGCCATATAAGATAGTGAATATCTCGAGAAGAAGACAAATGCCACCTCTTCCTGTAAAAGTGGATAATAATCAAGAGTTCAAAGTAGAAGAAGTCTTAGATTTAAGATGGTGCCAAAATAGATTGGAATATCTTATTCATTAGCATGGATATGATATTAGCAAATACACATTAGAGCTAGCAAAGAATCTTGCAAATGCAATAAAGAAAGTTAAAGCTTTTCATCAACAACATCCATCAAAACTAAGATGAAGAATTGTAAAGATCCATGAAAAATGATGACTGCTTCTCATGGAACTCATCTTTAGAAAGAAGAGTAATATTATGGATATATATATTTATCCCAATAGTTACTTATATGATTAGATAGAAGTAGATAAATATAGATTAATTTTATAAAGTCTTCTAGAGAAGCTTCTTAGAAGCTTTATAGATGCGGTTTTGACTTTAGATGTATTTGTAGGTCAGAAACTTGGCCAACAAGTTAATTATGTGTTGGTAGCTTATGGAACAAATTAACTCTATATAATAGCTTGTGGAACAAGCTAATTACGTAGGACATATATAGATAATTCGCCTTGTAAGTTAAGACATGTGGCTAACAAAGTCAATACATGTTAGAGGTCCTATAGAATATCGCCACGTAGCTTTTAGTTGGAGAATATATATGGAGGCAAGAGTGAAGCCTTCTTCACTCTTGTTAATGCCTTTCTAGTCTTTAGTCTTATTTCAAGACTTTTTAGTCTTCTTGTTTTTGGCAATAGTCATTCTAGTTTAATATTATATGATCTTTTGAGTGACTTTCTAATTTTCTTCACTAACACAAGAGTGTATTGAAGATTTTCTTTCTTCAAGATTCATATCCTTGATATAAATTTTACTACACTAACAATCTTAATGGAAGAAGAAATAAGACTTCATATGAATATAGAAGTAGAATTTGTAGATATTACAAAGTACCAAAGTCTAATAAAGAGTCTAATAAAGCATGGTTGAATTAGAATAACAAGCAGCATTTCACTGTAGTCTTCTTTATAATAGAGGTAAAATATAGAGCTCTCTCTAACAATTCAAGGAAAATAATGTAGATATATATATATATATATATATATATATATATATATATATATATTAATGTTTGAATTAGAAAAATAACCAGTATGACCAAAAAAAATATTTTGTAATAATTAGGACTCAATAAAACTACTTAAGAATCTAATTTTACATGCAAGGACTAAACACATCAAGCTAAAATATTATTATATCAAAAAAAGACTCAAAGAGGATAATATTGAAGTGATCTACATTCATACTAGTAAACAAAAGATTGATAACTTTATAAAACCTTTGAAAAAGATATATTCTCAATAATTTAGATAAAAAATAGGTGTTTTCAATCTTAAAGATTAATTAAAGTATTATTCCTATTAATAGATATTTTAATCAAAGAATACATATTCAAATTATATTTAAAAAATATACTCTTTTTTTTATTCTAAAATGATTCTTTTTTTTTGAGAAATGAAACATTTGCTCTTATGATATATTCCTTCAAATCTTCTTTTAATAAAAACTTGAATCTATCCAATTCAATCTTATAGCAATGAATCAAAGAGAGAGGCCTCTTCCATCTAATTAACAACATTATATATATCCTATGTTATCTACTTTAAAGAAAGAGACGACCTACCACTTAAAACTCTTTCCTATAAAATGCTTCTTATTCGCAAAGTACATTGAAGATAAAAAAATGAGGAATAGATTACAAAAAATTAGAAGTTTTTGCCAAAAAAGCTCAATCTTAATATTTTGAAGGAGGTAGGTAACAATGTCCTAGTGTCTACTACAAATCTAAAAGTATATGAAATTAAAACATTGACATAAAAAGAAAAGTTCATAATATCAAATATGTTGAACCACAATCTTTGACCCAAGAAGCCAAAATTATACAAAAATTATATGTAAAGTCTATCATCAACTAAAACAAAACCACAAATGTTTGTGACTATCAATGACATTACTAGGATGAAGAGAAGTCATTGAAAATAAAGTGAAAGATGGTTATTTAATTAAACAATTAGAGAAGATGTTCACCAATTCCTAGTGCAAAAATTGAAGTAAGACACTCAACATGCTTTCTTCTACACCGCTATCATCTCACAATTTATCCATACTTATGATTAGTATATTTTTGAATCTTCAATACTCTCATAAGATATAAAAGAAGGTGTTGTAATAAGTCATATTCACTCCTCATGGCAATAATAATAAGACACATCTAATATTTTAGATGAATGATTGTATTGGTGTAACTAAATGAATGATTATATTGGTATAATTGGATGAATGATTACATTGCCACCTCATGGCAGCTTGCCTTTACAAATGGATAGGCAAGTAAATAGGGATCAAGTTGTCACTTTTGTTAAAACTCCTCTTAATCATTCATAATGCTAGATTTATTCTTTGCTCATATTTGACTGCAAATAGATAAGAGTCCTGAAATATTTATATATTGTATTTGTACTATCACCAATTCACTTCTTAAATATACTCTATTCTATATTCTTTGATATAGTATTGGGTTTCAACATGAGTTCTGAAAGCTCTTACATGTGCTGCATAGGATGATGCTCTCACATGATGACCGTGGACTTGTGATCAACCTAGTGCACTCATACGAATTATAACTAGTGACAAGCCTCTCCATTGTACTATGCAGGTGGGTAGAGTAGAATTTGCAAGTTCAAATGAGCTCGATAATAGCAGAGAATGAAGTGCACGCGTTATCTAGAATTCCAGGTTCATCTGGGATCACTACAAGCAGTGCAGCGAATGAGCTTGGAAAGCAATTCTTTGCGCATGTTTTCAATAGAGAAAGGATGGCTTTTACTTATTCAAACTGTCTTGTAGGTCAATACACAAAGATTGTAAATCTGAAAGCATTCACTTCAAATCACTCCACGTCTCCTTCTAAATCACTCATTTCAAAGCGCTCACGTCGTACCTGACAGGACTGAAGTCTCCCGATTTCTTCACAACCTTAGCAAAGATGTCCAAGAATGTGGGATCCGGCAACACACCCGACGGCTGGGTGTGCGTCCAATGCTTCTCCACGTAATCCGCCACTCTCTTGCCAATTTCTTTAGCGTCATCGACAGAACTTTGGTAATGAGCTCCAGAGTACATTCGTGACTTCCCAGCTTCAGTAACAAAGGCATCAAGCGAAGTGAAGTTCACAGTCGGAACGGGGACTCCAACAAAACCTTCGCAGTTAAAGGTGCCTCCACCTTCTATGAAGAAAGGCACGTCCTTGTCCTTCCCGAAGTACTTCTGCAAGGGCCCCGTACCGGCGGATACAATGGTTACGGTTCCGCTTGGGTACTCGGGTTCCAAGGGAGTTGGATGGTAGGGCGACCAGTCGGGGATTGGAGCGTGAGTGCCATCACCCGAGCGGAAGGCTTGCTCGGGCCGCCAGAACCAAAATCCGAACTTAACAGTCACTTGCGTGATAGCAGCGTCGTGGATTGACACACTGGTCTTGGCAAGCAAGAGGACGCTGTCGTAGAGGGAAGTGTTGGAGGGTAAGGCGGTTTGGATTGCAGCAGACGCAGCCTGCTCGAAGCTACATTTGAAATTGCTCAAGCGAGGGCACGCGTACAGATTTGCGCTGAGGTTCATCGCAGCGGTGCGGCCCGACCATCCGGCACGTCCAATATCCTTCAATCCGTCCCAGTCAGCGTCCCATTCGGCCGATGGAATTACTGGGGGCTTGAATTCGCTGAGGTAGTCCTTTATAAACTGAAGCGGGTGAGGGAGTACGAAGGGCTTCCACGAGACCATTTGGTTGAAGAAAAAGTGGGCGGCGTCTCTCCCTTCGGGTGTGGTAGCGAAGTGGCGGAACACACCAATTTGGGGATTGATAACATCGTCCACAGCAGCGTGGACTGGACCCTGAGTGAACTCTGATGCTGGGCTCCGTTGACGAATCAGATTCACAGCGACGGTCTGGCCGATCCGCTTTGAAAGCCTCTTTTGTTTTTCCGTAAGGTCCATCGATCTTAGCTGACGATCTAGTAGTGGACCGAGGTTAAAATCTAAAATTTGTGTCCAAGAGAAGTAGTGGGAGAGGATCTTGAAGCTGGCGAATGCGACGACTGCCTGCTCAGTGGTGCAATCGCCAGTGGCTTTCAGTGCAATTAGAGCGTGCCACTGGGCCAGGTGCAGCTGAGGTTGGATGGCTGACGTCAACGGTGCAAATCCAAGGTTAGTCGCTCCTTGAGGGCAAATGAGCGTGTCCAACATGTGCGTCCACTCGAAAGCGACATTATTAACCACGGCAGTTGTCGAAGCAGGCGCTTGTAACATCACGATTATAGTAATCGCGACACACAGCAACTCCTTCGTCCTAATGGTGAGGGTCGTCATGATCATCAACGATGCGAGCTACTGCAGTTCGACGAGTCAACAAACGATCGGCACAAGGAGCACATAGCAATTATCAGCTGGCATTCATGACCGCAAAGTCATAAATTAAGGTTGAAAAAACTATTTTTCCCGATTACGGAACCAGGAATATCAGTTCAAACTAAGAATCGGGAAATGCTAGTAAAAAATGAAGTGAAAAATCGAATCCTAGATTTTTCTGAATCAGTGCAACACCACCAACATCCAGACACGCACGAATCGAAAAAAGTTTTGAAAAGGATGTTTCAGGGTACTACCATTAAGGCATCTTTAAGAAGATCAAAAGCAAGAAAATCTACTTTCTTCGTCAAACATCAACTTGCAGAGACAACCCAATGGAAAACAGAAAATGAGCGCTTCACTACTCACGCACAAAAACACACACTTTACAGCCGCGGAGGTGAGAACAGAATCCCATAGGAATTGAAGCTACATCAGCTACACTTACCAGTTAGGCTGCCAGGTTTGAACCGCGGAACTGGAACCGAAAACATAAATTACTCTATGTGGCAGTCCTTATATACCGAGCTCCGTTGCACCATTAAGGCATGTTCGAATAGCACGAGCTCATGTGCTACGGGCTGATCTGTTGCCCACTGCGCGATGACGGAACGCTGACATATCACAATGGATTCTTCCGAGAATTGTCGACTTGGACTATTATCGTGCAACAGACAGCGGAATCACCCTCATGATTGCGTACAGTCGGCTTTACGCCGGATTACTGGATCCCCATGGACCCAGTTGCCATTTCTAGATTTCGGCAGTCTGCTGGGAATCTCTGGTTATAGGCCACCGTACAAGACAGCAGCGTGCTCCCCACCCTCGGTGAATCGATGCCAGGATTTATTAGTATATATCAGTGCGTATTTATCTTGTCTTCTATATTAATGCATTATTCAGTTGTAGAAAATACATTAACGCATCAGTTTGAAATATAATATGTTGTATATATATATATATATATATATATATTATTCTAGACCCATGCTTCATTATATTTTTGAAATGGAGAACCGCCCCACGTATATAGTACTTGACAAATGACCAAGTGAGTCTTAATGGATAATGTGTCATGGCTATTTGGATATTCTGTTTGAAACGATCGGGGCACAGTTAATTTCAACGTTTTTATAGTATGTAAAAATGTTGTTGAAATGATTTAATACAAAATTATTGTAATTTATTTTCATTTTTCTTCCACCTAAATTACATAAAAAACACGTTTATCTTTCGGTTCGCTCTCATGCTGATATACAATACCCATACATAAAACATGTTGAAGACTACATACTGGTCACTCATTTGTCTCCTACTTTACATGATACTTTTGGGTAGCTTTAGAACTTATACTAGGAACTGTTAAAGAGTGTGTTTCAGCCGTATTCGAAAAGAGCTTTCGCCAACGCATCACAAATCCAGAAAGCTGTGATGGCTGGAAAAGCAACATGGCTCTTAGCGCGGTAACAATTGAAACTAAACAGACTTACTTTATTGAATTTTTGTTGGTCTTATCTGGTGCCGGGAAAACTACTTAACGAGGAAACGTAGACCCAAATCGGTGGGGAACCTGCAGCAGTGACCTGATATTTACGCTTGCAGTGGCCTGATATTCAGACATGCAATCATGTTTTTCTCATATCCGTGAACAAATTCCTCCGCAGTAGGGAATCTGGGCCCCACCGACAAGTGGCTCCAACCGCATTAACGTCTTCAAACCGGGTGATGAAGATCTCTGCGACATCAAGGGCAGTCCGTGAGCATCCTCTAACCTTAGATCCTACCTGGGCAGAAGTTGACACAAGCCCGAAAAATCTACTCCACCTGACTAAGCTCAAGCCCGATTCTCTGCACTTTTCTGCAATTGTAGCTCCATCTTGAATGATGAATCGAAATTAGAGAGCATTGACTTTGTGTGCGACTTTCACATCCTTGGATTACCTTGAGTTCATAAAGTTTCGATCGACTAGATCAACGACCTCACTGGCAGTGACAGGTGCATCGTATTCATCCAGGTTTATGCAGAAAACCACACGTTTCACTTCTTGTCCTCCGGGGTAGTTATCATTTCGAGATGTGATCGTCTCTGAAGACACAGCCAGTCAGCTCGACCCTCGGGGTGGTTATATGGAAGTCTGCGACCATTCCCTATTAAAAACTGCGCAGTAGGGCTTTGGAGGACACATGTACGACAAAATGTATACAACACACGAGAAAACAACAAAGTATCTTGAATTGTCTCAAAGTTTCTAGCTCTCAATTGGGCAACACCTCGAAAATCGGACCCGTGAGTCGCTGGATGTATACCAACTACCTTCTTCATTTCATACTGCTTTTCGCCGTAGTCGTTTCATTCTATCAGTCGTCCAACATGTACATCTTCTGTGGTAAAACTATCACAGTGTGCACACGGTCACTTGACTGGCTCGCATGCTTAATGAGCAAGTCGTCTGCAAGCAGTTAACCTTTGCAGCTATGCGATACAACGCCAAAATATTAGAAAGAATTCGTTAATATACTGCGTGAGTTACTGGTTGCTCTCAGTGACACCGACTTACATACAAATTTTCCTGAAACGAAAGACACCATAAAAATACGCAATGAGAATCAACGTGATTGAACAGCATGTACAGCTAAAATTCCTTTCACATCTTCGCCACATTTCTCAGCACTCACGGTATTCCTGCTATCCTATACAAGAATTACGCAACGTGTGGTATCTCACTCATGCTTATTATATCAATGACCCGTCATCTTGTGGGCAGTAATCTCTCAGTACTTATATAGGTATTCCAGCTAGGAGACTATCGTGGGTGATTCATCATTCAGAGAACCGACGTATTCGAAGGTGTGCTTGGCGCAAGATTACCTGCAAGAAGCAAAGACTTCTGGGAAGTTATAACTTTTGTTTCCATGAAGTGGCCAGAAGCAAAACACGAAATTCATCACGGACTCCCACCATGTTCCAGATGTTGGAGAAACGACCAGAATCCGACACGCCTTCAGATAGAGTTCCTAAAATATCCAGGTTGGTTGCCTCTTAATGATGGAACACGGGTACTTTTAAGTTGAGTATCTTTTCTTTCCAGAAGGCAAAAAAATCCACAACTCGGACTAAAATTGTGGCATTAATAGGTCAAACCGAATCTCTTTCTCGTCGAAGCACTCATGCGTAGATTGCTGGAAGGATCATCTGGCCCTTCATTCCACCTTTCCATCTGATACACCACACAGATCACCAATGAGGATGCATTGTTGCAGTTTGAATGAACCATATAATCGCTCACAGAAGCTTCACAACAACATCAGAAACATCTACAGAAAAAAGTAACCCAAATCCTCATCATCGATTTATGACATGTGATATTACACAAGCCAAGAGAATCCGATTCTTTTCGAGGCTCTATAACTTTTCGTTCCACAATTAAAAAATGATCGTCCAATCCGAGCACGAATATCTTTGCAGACCGTAATTAGGCGTCAAACCCAACAGTACGAGAGATTCTGCTCTCAGTTCAGCACCAAAAATGGACGTTCCGCAGGGAACTGGCCTCTCACGATCTGACGATAGAATGTTCAATGACGTGCAAAGCAACATGCCCTGGAAGCCTTTGACAAAGGCTGCGAGAGCAGGGACTTGGGATACACAAGACAAGGTGAGGGATGTATCCACAGTGAGCGCCAGTCCTGGATTACTCCTTCAATATCCATGTCGGCCACAACTTGCGCTTCCCACCTGCCCTCTACTTCGCCATCAATCTGGAAGAAACTCACACATTCTCATGGGTTCATCCACTGTCTATTGGATGAACCTGGGCATTGGCAGTGGACATGCATGAAGTGGGCAGCAAATGGATTTGCAATAGTTCAAATTGGCTATATTAATTAAATTTGTGTCTTTCTTTACAATTTGTGGCTTGTGTGCATGTGTTGACATGGCCTACTCTACTCTAGGTTTGAAGGGAGGAATTCTTTAGTTATTGGGAAAATATCTTATATATCCCTCAAATATGTTGAAATATCAAGAATACCCTTATATTCTTGATAATAGCTTATATATATATATATATATATATATCCCTAGAATTGTTAATAAAATATTGAAAATTTGACAATTCTATTAGTGATTTTGTCTTCATATGGATCCAAATAGTAGCTTCTATGATTTAGTGTATCAAAAAAGAAAAGCAAAGAAAAGAAAAGAAAAATGTTCTACATGATGCATACTCTCAATCAAATTGTTATGAAAGGAAGAAAGTGCCATAGCTGTTTGATAGTATACATCAGGTAGATCTGTCCTTTGTACCATCCTGTACTTTATAGCCTCTTATAATGCTTTATCTATATGTAATAATGAGAGAATAATGTGTGCCAATTATAAAATTCAGCTTTAAGTGGTTGTAAATCTAAACTTCTTAATATTCTCTTTTTGTTGAAGGAGAATGCATGATATAATATCAAGTGATTTGATTTCAATCAAATATGTTGTAAGCAAAATTTGACAATGCCCACTGCATAACTTTTTGCTATTCATTAAATAGTTTTGTTGGCAAAAACACAATAAAAAATGCATGTTCATTCTCATTAGCACTTGTAGATCACCAAGCCTCAAGTGAAGAAGTATTACAAACATACGTAATTATCTAAATAAGAAGTATTAGATAGATGATAAAAGTAAGTAGTTAATATAATATCTTATAGCAAAACTTTTTAGAAACTTTATAGATACGGATTTGACTTTAAATATGTTTGTAGCTGATTAATAGGTTACAAACTTGGTGAATAAGTTAGCCACGTATGTGAGCAGTTTTTTCTTCCCTTACTTAAGTTCAATTTTATTCAATTATAACTTAGATTAAAATTCAATATTAACCAATGTGAGCACTTAAACCATAAAATATATATATATATATATATATATAATCACAATTAATCCAACCAAATACAATAAGTTAAGTATATAATTTTTATAATTTCTTAAATGTTATAGTCTAATAAGTTAATTACCTTTGAAGGTTTACTTGGTCAAGCTTAAACTCTGAAAATTATGAAAAAAAATAAATAAAAAAAAATAAATAAATTAAGTTAAAATTAATCACTAAAAGTTGAGTGAAGAGTTTAAAAATAACCACAATAAAAAATTGAAGGTAAAAAGTAAAAGTTATAAACTACAATTAAAAGTAAAAGATAAAAATAAAAAGATAAAGTTACTTTTTATTTTATTTTATCTTTTAAAGATAAAGATGGATGAAAAGATGAAACTTTACCATTAATTAATGGAATGAGGAAAAAGTTCTTAAAAATTATTAAATAATATTAATTAATGGTAATAAGACAAATGAGAGCTAATTTAGCAGATTAGATGCTAAAAGATGTGATTAGAGAATAATTAGAGATGAAAACAATAACATATCTTGAATATGTCAAGTTATAGGCAGCTACCCTTGCCACTCAAAAATTCACCAAAAATACTTTGAGACTCTAATATATATGAAATTTGGTGTGATCAAAGTTAATTCCAACATGCTTCTATCTTTCTAAATCTTGTGGAAATCCGATCTAAAATGCTTGAGATATGGTTTTTTCCAAGTAGAGCCACTTAGGCT